TCTGCACCCTTAAGCTATTCCATAATCAAGTAGAAAGGGAATTCTCTGTGGGACACTTAGACTGCTTCAGTTGAGTGGCACCAGTTCACTGTAACTCTGTCTGCAGAGCTGAGAGGAGTACATCTATTGGACACTGAAAGACCCCTCAAGAAAAATCAGAACCCTTTGATTGATGTTGTTAGATCCATATTGGTAGAAAAGATTCCCCAAACGCATGATGTACTGTCAGGGAAATGCTGACTTTTCCCAGTGCCTACTCCCTTGCTGTGGCTCAGGGGGTACAGGTATCTGTGACTGTGGAGGGTGCTTGTCCCCTACAGTAACGCCCTCTTGGCAATGTAATGGTCTCACTGGAGGCTGACAGAAAAATTCTCATGTTTCTGATACTCTCTCTGACAGTATTACCTACCATTTCTGGGTTGCTAATGCTCTCTTTCCCTCATGCCACCTGTCAGAAAACCAAAGGGTCTGTGCAAATGATGAGGAAGCATAAAAACATGTGTGAACCTGGTTTGATCTGAGAAAGAGTTAATTTTCTTCCTAGCAGCTGGAATAGTGCTTGTTTGGGATCTGGAATGAGAATTATGTTGCTCTTCCTTTTCTGTCCCATTAAACCGCCTTTATCTCCACCCACATTTTCTCCCTTTGCTCTTCTGGTTCTGTCCCCACCCCCTGGTCAGGGTGTACTGAACAAGCAGCTGTGTTGCTTAGCTGCTGGCTGGGGTGAAACCCTGACGTGGGATTGCAGGATACCACACAGCAGTGGATCTCCACCTCCTCAGGTCTCTGCCCCATGGCTGGGATCTTCAGCTGTCCTCTAGCAGTTAAAGGCACGTAATGGAATCCAGTAATCTTCAGAATCCAACACAATTAATTGACCTCTTCCCTTCCAAGAACCTATTTATTCTATGTATTAGCAGATAGATAGAATCTCAGCCTGCTCATATGCCGAGTCCCATTGGTGCAGAGTCGAGCAAAAACCTGATTTAGTTTAGGTTTGTGATCCACTATTTGTGCATGCCTGGGAAACACCCAGACCCGAATTGTTTTGTGCAAATTAACCAAGCCATTGCTTGTCTGTTTAGGCGTGAAGCGTAGTCCATCAGAAATGGCAGAGGGCGAGGTTGATGTTACCAATGCCTGTGGCCCATATTACATAAACAATCTGAGCTATTCAGAGGAAAATTTTGACAAACTGGTGAATCTAAGTTACTACAACGTCCAGAACAACAAAGATTTGATTCTTCAGGCCTTGCGTACAGCTGTGGAGCGGAAAAAGCAGCACAAGAAAGAGCAAGTGCTGCACAAACAACCCGATGGCCATGGCAGGCCTGTGCCTGCCAGAGAGGGAACCCAGCACTTGGCTGGCTGCCCAGCACCGGGGAATATGAAATAGAGGATCGTCCTATTGATGAAGAAGAAAAGGAATTTTATTAGGAAGTGAAGACAAGCCAAAGAACGCTAAGGATAGCACTTAATTTGTCATCAAAAATGTTAAGCCTGTCTGTCAGTGGAGGGAATTAACTCAAAGAACCAGCTCTTCCTTAATGAACTCATGTGCTTCCCACGTTGACAACCTCAGGAGCGTGGCGAGGTGAGGCTCTGCTTCACTGTACTTGCAGAAGTGACCTGCCAAACTGTGTGGACGAGGAAGTGTGAGGAAGTTTACATTGACTGTTTGTGTTCTACCTGTGCTATAGAAACAGAGGATTGCCGGTCCAGAAATGCAGCAGAGAGCAAAACCCATTGTCTCTAAAAAAAAATCAAGGAAGCCATTTGTGAACTAAGAAATCTTTATGTGAATGTAAATAAATATTGAATTTATATAATAAATTGCTACTTCTGAGTAGAAGTTACAGCAAATAAATAGTTTTCCTATCAAGTACATGTTTCAGCCACTTACTTTAGGTGCTTCTTCCTCTAATAGCAAGACAAAGAAAACATGTGGACATTTCATAGCTGCTGAAGAATATTGAAGAAGAACATGTACCTGCTCCAGACATAGATGTGGGCTAGTGCAAGATTCTGGAACCCCTTGAGTTTAGGATTACAACTAAAACTCATCTATACAAGAACCAACTCATGTTAATTTGTTTTAGCAAGCTGGATTTAAATGCTATTGATATTATCAAACATTCTTTAGGATTGATTGAGACTATTACATCGAAAACACAAGAAACACAGACAAAGCAAAACTGAAATTGTGTGCCTAATATCACTCATGCAAATGTGATTTTTTTAAACTTGCTGTAGAGTATAGCAAATGAAGTTAACAGAGCATCAATTTTCAACTTTCTGATGTTTTGGTTGTGAGACTAACATATCTCTTTTCCAGCAACCAGTCTGGGTTTTTGGCAGATGGAATCTATAAAAAATCTACATTTATTCTTCTTCTAATTTTTTTAAATTCAGTGCTATAGTTTTATTTATTAGACATCTTGTATCCACAAGCCCATGTTTCCTACAGGCGTGCCCACTCCTGAATTCTGCTGTAGTATTCTTTGTCAAGAAATCCTGTTATTGTGGGCCAGGAATGGAATGGCTTTTGGTCTCAAGATCGAGGGTCTCCTCCTCTGTGGTGCAGAGAGATGTAACCCCTCTGTTTGCCACTTAGGTCAGTGAACACTTAGCTGCTTGCTACAGGAGCCCAGAGAGCTCCTGGACTGTATGCCCAGAGTTTATGTCCCATGGAAACGAGAGAGCAAACAGGACTGCACCAGCAGTTATGGATCTCGTCATAGTATGGGATGGGATGTAGTCAGAGGGCACAGCCAGACCTGGGAATTTGGAAGCACTCCCAGGTTCCCATATACAGTTAGAGCTTTATTGTCTGAAGGGCAAAAATTATTTCACCGACAGCAGGAAGCATCTAGGCAGGAAGTCTGAAGACAAGCAGAACGAGGTGTGTGAGTGCAAACACTTCCCTGCCCTTCCTGCTGCTTTCCAGCAGACACGAAAGGGTCATGGAGAACAATGAGCACTTTACCACATTTCAAAAATCTTGCATGGAATAATTACTCAGTATTTCAGTTTTCTATGTTGAACAAGAATACAGAGGAAAATGTCAGGCCTGATCAAGGAGGTGGAACCGCTTCCACCCAAGGCACAAATAGCTGAGGAATCTGCAACCCAGAAAAAGAACAGGAGGAGTGGAAGGCAGAAAAAAGAGATGCATGAAGTCAGTGCACATCTCTTCTATCACAAGACCTTGAGAGGATCAGTCAAAACTAGTGAAAAGCAGGTTTAAACAGAGTGAGGTAGTTCTGCACACATGTAATTAAGTTTTCTTGTTGATAAAATTTTATGCATTCAAAAAACTGATTGAGACATTCACTGGAAAATCTTTAGGGACTGAAAAAACACAATGGCTCTGCATCTGCCTCAGTCCTGCACTGAATCATGAATTCCCAGAGACTCAGAGGACAGTCTGAGGCAGTATCATACCTGCCCTGTAAGGCATGTGAGCTATGTAAGCTTCTCCAGTCACTAAATACTGGACTTAGCACTGCAGACAAGGGGGAAAGGAATCTCACTCCACACTGCAGCACTTAGGTTTCCAACAGCCCAGATATTTTTGCAGATAATTAATAATTAGGAGCAGTCAGACCTCTAAAGATGTGGTGATACAAGACTAATTTAAAAGAAATTACTGAAGTAAAATAGAGAAGGTGTAAGTAACTACAAGGATAACTTAATTGTGTATTAATTAAGCCATAGAGAAAATGAATGACAATTAAAGGAATACTATGAAAAGGAGATTTAAAAACTGAGGAAACCAGTCAGCAAGACCCTATGTGAAATGGTATAAAATCTTTGGACTCAGCATGGAAATTGCAACAAGAAAGTTGCAAAATATATGCACAGCCCTAAATAAAATGCAAAGCAAGGAACCAAGAAAAGGCAAAGTGGTTAAATGCCCAGAACTGAGCATTGCTAAAGTCTAACATCTGTTCTTTGAGGAACAGCATAGAGAGGAAGGAGATTAAAAGAGCACATCTAAACCTGCTGATGTATTTAGAAAAGACCTAGAGCATATAGAGAAAATGCAGCATTCAATATGGAAATGAGGATGAAGAAAGGTACATAGATAAAAATGTGAAACAGTAGATGTACTGGACCAGCAAAAGGGGATTTATATGATATGGGTGCTCTGAAGGAGCCATAAGTGCCGCAAAAGGCACATTTGTAATACAATGTTTAAACACAGTTTCAGCAAAAATTTCCACTCCTTTGCTTTTAACGGAGATCCCAAGTTTTTGTTTTGGGGTTTTTTTTTAAAGTTACTGAGCAAAAACTTGAATATCAGAGGACAAAAAATACTTGTTTTATTGATTTTCCCAAGATTGTAGTGAATCCGGTGTTACCATCCACTAAAATCTCCTGTAAAATCAATGGGCAAGGTGGCAGGACCTAGGGTTAGAACTAATGGTCATGTCTTCTACACACGTCTCACAGAAAGGTTTCCCTGTTTTACTGAGATTTTTCACTATGTTTAAAACTGTTGCTTGATGTCGCAGCTAAACACCACGGCGCTTAGTCACACATTTCTTTTGCATCCAAAGACAGCAACCATCATCCCAAAAACACGAAAAGCATTTGGGCCATTCTACGTTCAGATCGGAGCTGTCAAAGTGTTTCCGGATTTCATCGCAAGGGGCTGAGATTTTAGCGCAGAAGAGCAGCAGGCACAATTAAACCTCCAGAGACGGACTTGTGGCCAAAAAAAAAAAAAAAAAAGAAAAAACAAAAAAAGAAAAATCATCGGATTCGATAACAGCCCCAGACGACCCTCCCTTTCGAAGAGCCCCAAACCCGCCCGGCTGCCAGGGTGCGTGCCGCAGGGCGCGGGGCCCCGCCCGGCCCGGCCGCTGAGTGGAGCGCGGCAGCGCTGCCGGCACCGCCTCTCGCCGGGGCCGGGCGGGTCCGCGGCGGCGGCTGCGTGCGCGGGAGGCGCGGCGGCGGCGGCGGCAGCGGCAGCGCGGCGGGACGGCAGCGGCGGGATGTTCAGCTGGCTGGGGAAGCAGGGCGGCGGGCGGGAGCGCGGCGGCGGCGCCGACGTGGTGCAGACGGTGACCGGAGGGCTGCGGGACCTCTACCTCCGCAAGCTGCTGCCGCTGGAGGAGCACTACCGCTTCCATGAATTCCACTCGCCCGCCCTGGAGGAGGCCGACTTCGAGAACAAGCCCATGGTGCTGCTGGTGGGGCAGTACAGCACCGGCAAGACCACCTTCATCCGGTAGGTGACCCCCGGCGTGCGCGGCCCTGCCCGGCCGGCGGCCCCGCCGCCCGCTCGGTCATCCTGGCTCGGCTCCTGCCCGGCACGGTGCTGCCTGCCGTAAATCCCTCCCACGCCCTGCGCGGGCAGCGCTGCCCCCCGGGTGCGAGCCGGGCCGGGCAGCGCCGTGCCCGCGACAGGCGGCGGGGCTGGAGCCGCGACCCTGCCGGCGAGCGGGGCTGGAGAGAGCCTCCGAGCAGTGCCGAGGGTGTGCCGCTCCCCGCCCTGGCACACGCTCTGCAGCTCGCCGCTTGCTTCCCGTTCAGGAATACTATCTCCATTTCATGTTCTGCTGAGAAAGTGTAACCCCGTTGTCTACTTCCTCTTAGTTCTTGTAATCCCCAAATTGTTTCAAAGGAAACCTAAGGGCTTCGTGTTAAAACGGTGTGACTGCATCGGCCATGGGGGATCAGTTCACCTTATCTCCTCCCCTTTCTTTCCCGAAAGTAGCTTAATGCACAGATCAGATGTCATCATAGAGGAGTAAGGTGACAAGAGTTTTGGGCAAAAAACCACGTGGGATCTGGAAAGTCTTCCCTTCCATGTGTGTTCATTTTGATCAATTACATTGAAGAAGCAGTATCACTACTAAGGCACCTTAACATTGTTGTTCTTGTTATAGTTTTTTCTGACTTTCCTATATTCCTTATTTCTAAGTTTCCGGTAACTCATTTTTAGGAAGCTGAAGCATATCTCGGGTAAGCACAATGCTATCAATCTGTAAATATTTTGCATATGTTTGTCCCTTTCACATGCCCCTTACAAATCAGTCTAATGATTTGCCCAACTCTGCAAGAGACACTGAGGGGTCACTTGGTTCACATTTTGAACTGCTTCTATCTGAAGTTCATTGTAGTCTTTCTGTAAAATTTTTATCTTTCAATTCCAAGGATTACAGGCAGCCTTTCCATAACACTGTTTTCTTTTTGCGGTGCAAAATACCTACCTCCCTCTCCCCTGAACATCGATGTTTACCTTTAATCACCTGAGAGCTTTTCAGATGTTTACAGAACTAATCATGTGTCTTTTCAGATTTTACAGCTAGTTAATTGAAAGCTTGAAGTCAAACATGGTTTCTTTACTGATTATTACTGAACTCCCACAAATACATAAAGAGGTATTGCTCAGAGGAGTATTTTTAAAATAGAAATATGGCTGTAATTGAAAGAAAAGAAACTTAGTTTCACGATCTCCACAGTCACAAGGTGGTGAGTGGGGGGAGGGGGTTTTGATCTGGATTTTGCCAACGTTTCTCTAGGTATGTTAATTAATTTTCTTCCTCAAAATTACAGTCGCCTTGTTAGTCTGTGTATATTTCCTGATAAGTGTTATTACTTGGCTTATGGACAAGAGATGGGGAGAGCACAGGTAATATAGAGGCAGGCAGAATGGTCAGAAATATGTCCATACCAGAACTTGTGCTGTCTGTCAGCAGCATTGTTCTGTTATTTGCAATTCATAGAAAACTCTGCGTCTCCCCTCCTGTAAGAGTCTGCCTTGGTTCAGAACACAGGTTCTGGATTTAGGGATATTCAGCTTTTCTGTCCTTTATAGCTGCCCATATTTGACTGAAGTACAAGTCAGTACTGTGCTTAGAAACATTAGTGTTCCTTGCAGTGCCTTAGGTGTATTTTTGCTACTGTTGCTTTGTGGGTAACTTATCACTTTAACAATAAAATGCTGAGCAAAAGGATTGATTGATACTAATATACTGAATGAGAAAGGACCTATACTTTATTACAGTTCTTACCAGCTTTTTTAAGCATTTGTCGGTGCCAGATGAAGATGCCTAGACAATTTTGACAGAGATGAAGTTTCCAAAGATGGTTTCTCATGTGTTTTGTTAAAATACTTGACTTGATGCAAGATGTGGCTTCTACTGTGATGTGCCCTTCTTTTTATCCTCTTACCCCTTTCTGCTGTGCCCATTTTAGGAAGCTTGCAGAGCAGTTTAATCTTGTACAAGGTATTGGAGAAGACAGGCATTGACTACAGAGGCCAAATCTGTAGCAGAATATCTTCTATTGCTTCTAAAGGCTCTCACTGTGATCAACATTGCTTACGTCAGTGTTTTCTATAGCATAGATAATAAGTGGCTAAATCAGCATGAAAAAATGCTCCACTGAATATGGGCAGCAACTTAGACAATAGTGTCACAGTGACTGCTACTCAAAATCCAATTTTGAGGAGAAAAAGAAGGGCAAAAAAAGAGAAGTTCTTGTATGCTGTGTGCAAGACTTTAAAAGAAGATGTGGAAAAATATTATAGTGTCCAGGTCATCCAGAAATAAATTCATCCTCTGGTAGCCTGAATCTCCCATGGAAAAATGTCATACCCTCTCAAGATTGTTATAATCCTGTATTTGTTCTGGATTTTTTTTCTTAGGATGAAGTAACACTGTAGGGGACTTATTCCTCCAAACCTTTTAATAAGAAAACATTATTTTAAATTTTAAATAAATAATTAGAAACTGCCTTTTGTTCACATTTCTTGACTTCGGAGTCAGGAGGGCATGTTAGGTCTACTTAAGTGTTTACTGTTTGGTTTATGTGTGAACACAATAATTATGTTTAGCTGTCGGATATTTATTTGGGATTTACTTTGATTGAGACATTATCGTGAGAACTTGACATTTTCATACCTCTGACACATCCACATCCACCCAGTTCCTTCCACTAAGTCTTTATGGAAAACACTGATGTACCAGTGACTGAATGTCCCTGGGGATTAAGATATGGAAACAAACACTTCCAGGTTTCTAACAGCTCTTGTGTTTTTTCACTCAGTGCTGTTTATCCGCTTTGGCACTCGGAACAATGCAGTGAAACCAGTCAGTTTTGTTGTCTAAGGTGTAGTGTGGTGATAGTTTTATTCACTTATTTGACAGTGCTGACAATTCAAACAAATACATCCAAATGTTAATGCTTGTCCAGTTGTGTTTAATGAAGTGGGAGTATGGTGAGAGCCAATTGTTATCTTACATGTGAGCTGCTCGGCCTTGCAGTTTCTGTAGTTGTCTCAATTTCTCGTGCCTCTTTTAGGAAAAAAAGTGAGGACAGGAGAGGAGAATTGTACTGTATGAAAAAGAGATAGGAGGTAGTCAATGCAAATAGGTAGCTTCTTTCATTCTGTTTTAGAAGTGTAGGAGACTGATTTTTTTAAAGGAACACTATCAACATGAGACAAACCAGAAGTAAATTCCTCAGATTGCCAAGCTGTGCTTTTACTTTGCTCACAGGTATTACTCAGAGGTTAAAAATTGTAAACTTCCTGCTATTTAACTCAGCCAGAGCTGACTTGTGTGAAAGCACCCTTTTGTATGCATAATGTCTGGAGTCTGCTAGTAGTGTGTGATCACTTGTGCAGCTGCATCTATTTATTTGGGGGTGAAGTGGGAGGAAGGTCCCTCTTAATTTCTTTGGGTGAAGGCTGTAACTTTTTCACTATCTCTAAATGAAAGCTTTGGATTATTTAGGGCAGAATTCTTACACTAAAGCAAACATCTAGTTTTGCTGTGTTAATAAAAACCCTGAATACTTGGTGCAGTATGTAGTATGGAGGTGAGCAGCCCTATGAAGGAGCGACGAGTTTATCTCCCAGTGCATCATAGAGTATCCCTGTTCAGTGCTGCTCTGTCCGGCTCACTTGCTTTTAAGCATTAGTGTGGCCTAGCTAATACATTTAGGCTTCAGATGATAATGGGTATCTGCAACTGTGAGTAATCTTTTCTATCTCTGGGAACTTTGGAAGCTAGTTCCCCGTAGTCTGGCTATACATCTTGCAGAGGAACCTAGATGAATGTTTATTGGCAAAGCTGAAAGGTTATAGCCCAGGTAAAAACAGAGAATAATCAACAGGATGTCTGTTGTTTGATCTAGACTGTCTTTGGGGCATTGGCTATTTTTAAGCATTCTTCCTGTGAACCTTTTTGAACTTCTCTGCTGAAAATTCCTGAGAAGAGCATGTAGTTGCAGATGCTGAAAATCCAGGTATTTTCCTGTGCTAATGAAGCATTAGGTACAGAAACATTGACAGCTTTTCAGTTTACAGAAGACTGCTCTTAGCTTTTGTGTGGGTGGGTAAAACTGTTCTTTCACACTGAGAAGAGTGATAGATTGTGTTGTGGCTTATCCCACCCCACAGCTCCAGCCTGCAGCCGAGCACCACACAGCCGCTCACACCCTGCACGGTGGGATGGGGGGAGAATCAGAATGGTAAAACTGAGAAAACTCACGGCTTGAGAGAAAGACAGTTCAGTAGGTACAGTAAAAGAATCACAGGCAAGGCAAAGCAAGGAATTCATTCACTACTTTCCATGGGCAGGCAGATATTCAGGTATTCCCAGGAAAGCAGGGCTCTATCATACGTAGCAGTGACTTGGGAAGAGAAAATGCTATCATTCCAAGTGTCTCCTTCTTCCCCTAGCTTTATATGCTAAGCACGATGCCATATGCTACAGGACATCCCTTGGGTCAGCTGGGAGCAGCTGTCCCAGCTGTGTCCCCTCTTAACCCTTTGTTCACGGGATGGGGTGAGAAGCAGAAAAGGCCTTGATTCTTAAGGCCTTGAGTGTGAGTGCTGCTCAGCAGTAATGAAGATATCCCTGTATTGTCAACACTTTTCAGCACATATCCAGAACACAGCCACATAGTAGTTGTTGTCCCAGCCAAACCCATCACACTTGAGCACAGCCAGTGCTTAAGAAGAGGCTTATTTTAGTCTGTACTAATTCTTGATGTGCAATTGTGAGCCAATCTTAATGGAAAATACCTATGATGCAAAGTGGTTTCTGCGTCTGTTAATAGTTGTACCAGGCAGAGCATTGTGACTGTTGGGTGGGGCTTGGTATTTGGAAGGAGGTCTTGCCTTCCTGGATTGTTATCACTATAAAAGTCTGGTTTTTTAAAGCTGCCTTTATGACATTAACTTGAGAGTATCACTGCAGTTCAGTGGCACTTTATTCTGGTTTAGTCATTTCAATAAAGTGCTAATTGGAATTTGCACTATCAAGTTCAGAGCAGCAGAAAGAGATGTTGGAAATCGTGAAAGATACTCCATACTTGTAACTCTTTAAAGCTGCTACAGATTCATGAACAGGCCATGAAATTACTTTTTTAGGCACCTAAAAGACTGTCACCACTGAATTTCCACAATCATGCCATAATTTATGAGCTTACAATGGATGGCAATTATCCTGTTACCCTGGAGGTGTCTGCTGCTGCATTTAGATCCCACCACATAGTTTTCCTTGATCTGGGATGTGGGACTTCACTCCTGTGCATTTAATTCAATATATGTTCTTTACTGCTGCTCTTGGGGCATCTTCTGGTATATGTTGTCTGTCACCTATAGAGGAGCTTATTTACAGAGCTCTCTCTTAGAGACTCTTTGTCTTGTAAAAGAAGGGAAATGAGGAAAAGCAGTGTTTGAAATAGAAGATTTTATTGTGGCAAGTTAAAAACTTCTTTTTAGAAGACGAAAGTAGAATTGATCTTTCAAAATCAAAGCCATGGATAATGCCAAGCTGGAAATTTTTAGTGACTCTTGTGAGTTAGCCTTGGCACCGTGTTTTAGAGAACTCTGGTGTGCAATGATGTTCTGTAAAGAGCTGGGAACACACTTTGACATTTCATGTGTTCAGCTGTTCGCCAGAACACTCGAAAACCCTGGATTTCCATGAGGGCTTCAACTGGTGAGCAATTAAAGGAGTTTTGTCTTCATTTAATTCAGATAATTTAATTATTTAATTTGTACAGTGAGGGATCTGCTGCATTTTACAAACCTGTGTGGGCAGAGAGGTTTGAGTGTTGTTTCATTTGCTTTTGGAGAGGGGTCAGTTTTATTTCTCTGTTACTGTGCATTAGGTACAGCTTATGCTAGAGATAAAAGAGATTGGCATGTTCTGGCATGATTGTTCTTGTGTTCCTTCTCTTATGTTCCTCCTTCCTCACAAGTTTAGTATTGGTATTTTTTTAATTTCTTTTTTTGGAAGCAGAAAGCTACAGGAAATCTCATGTAAATAACTGTTCCATGCTCCCTGATCATAGGCTGAGCGAATTGGAGCCAATTTGCTAAGGCTCGTGGAAAACAGTCTTTGAAATATGTAACGTATATTTAGTTTCTTAAATTCAGCTTCTGTGCACTGATCTATAAAGTTTGTGAATGCTTGGGTACTTTATTTGAAAACAGAGATTGTTCAGGAAGTATAGATACTATGTAAAATGTTTTTTGCAGCAAAAGCAAACAGCAAAAAGTCCTCTCAAATCAGTATTGATTTAGGAAGCTATAGCAGAATAAACATAGCACTGTTGAATTAAGTCCAGAATAAATCTTTATTAAAAGAGCAGCATTAATATAGATGCACTAAAGTGTAACTAGTGCTGTCGCTGCATGCAGGACCACCACCTGTGACTTAAGAAAAATTCTCATGTAAATCCAGTTTTGATTATGTAAATAGTTAAAATATACTTGATTAAATTTGTGGTGTTTTGGGTTTTTTATAGGAACTGCAGGGTGACATTGAAAATGTTTTGTTTTAGTCTGGAGCGCCAAGATGGTGCTGTTGTGCCTGTGGACAATAACACTCTTGCTGTAAAGTTAAGCAGAGCTGTCTGTGTCTCTGTGAAGGATGGCAGCTGTCATAGAATGTGTGCTACAGGGAGGTTTGCTCAAAGGACTTGGTGCTGCTTTTACTTCTTTGCACTTGCCATCCATGAAGGGATGCAGACAGGCATTTTACGTAAATAAATGCCCTGGTTCCATTAAGTTTTAATACTTAAATACACACTAAATTAATTTCAGACCTTGTTGTCTGGAAAGTCAAGGCCTTCTGAGTTTGTGCCATATCTTCTGTCAGTGGACTACTGAAAGGGAAGTGCAGGATGGTTTCTGGTGGTAGAACACTGCCTGACTTGGTGCCTTTTGGAAGTACTTTAGTGTAGGCCTAAATTTCTGCAGATCTGACTTAATTAACAATTAATTTTTGATGTGCAGGTCAAAAGAAAGAAAAAATTTCCTCACTCCCAAAGAGATAAAATTTTATTGTCTCATAGTGGTTCTCTTTGCCTCTGATAGGATGAGTTAAAGTTCATGAGATCACACCAAGTTGATTAAAGGGTTGGATCTGTCAAACTGAACCTGCTCACTTGCAGCTGCAAACTATTCCCTTTTTGTACCAGCAGCACTGGTTTAGGCTTGGAAACACTCAGAAAAGCAGCCATGTGCTGTAGTGTAACCTACAGCACTCAGATCTTTGGTAGGAAGCATCCACTTAAATCCCTGCAGTTTAGGGAGTGCTTTCCACAATATTTGTAAAGGGATTTACTTTATCCTTTTACCTAGATGTTGTGAAAAACTAAGTCAGTTCTCTTCCTCCTTCCCCAGTTAACAGAAATAATGAAATAAAGGAAAAATATAATCTTAATCTTATAGAATATGCATATCCTTGGGAATTTTCAAGCAAATTTGCTTTTGCCACGGATCCCAATCATTTATTCTTTTGGAATATTTAGGTACAAATATAGCAATTGTGTATAAATACATTTATGTGTTATTTACCTCCAGGTACCTGCTTGAGCAAGACTTTCCAGGCATGAGGATTGGTCCAGAGCCTACCACAGATTCCTTTATTGCTGTAATGTATGGAGAAACAGAAGGAAATGTTCCTGGAAATGCCCTGGTTGTTGATCCTAAGAAGCCATTTCGGAAACTCGGCCGCTTTGGAAATGCTTTCCTGAACAGGTGAGATCATCTTGTTTTCTGTCTTCTGATGATTACATTTAAATTTTGGCACGTTCTGTTTTGAACAACATAGAATAAATAGAGAAGTACAAGCAGGAATGGTGGCAGTTCAGGTGAATTAAATGAAAAAAGGCAGTACTAGGTAGGGTGGCATTATGACAGAGATATTCAGTCATCTGAATAATAAATAGCTGTTAAAACCAGTTCACAGAAAACTGTAGAAATGATCCACTGGGTGACTTGTTTGTGACTCCAGGTGGAACTCAGGATAAGTTTATGCAAAAATTCTACTCAATAAAACTGATGGGTTACTACCATTTTTTAAAACTACCATTCAAAAAAAAAAAGAGAAACAGTTATTTTCCCTTTGATGCTGTCTTGTTCCTTTCCACTGATTTCACTGGAAATAGCTCTTGGTATAGTTATTTGAAATTATGAATTGCTGGGATATATAAAAAGAGATACAAGAAGGAAAATATTTGAATGTGTCCAATGGATAAAATAAAAGCTCAAGCTGTTAAGTGTTTAATATTAAACTGCCTGGGTGTTCAGGTAGTACCATAGATCAGGGAGATAGTGTTAGTTTTTGACTGTGTATTTGTAAAAAGGGAAGAGTTGTTCAGGGGCTGTGAACATTTTGATAGTAAACTTAAGTAGCATGCTGATTATTTTCAGTTGAAAGTTAGTTACCAATAACTCTATTCTTATTGTCTGAGCAATCACCTTGTTTTCTTCCTGTATTTGATGGTAGCTTGACATGGAGGCCTCACTTTGCAGGCCAATTAGTCTAAATTGGTTCTTTTGAACAATACAATTTCCTGTTTGGCTGATAAATATTGGCATGCGTGTTAAAAGTTCATCATGTACAATTTTATCTGTTGCTGTGCTTATTCAAAGAAGAAAGTTTATAGCTGCTTACAGTTGGCTTGGCTACCACTTTGCAGAGATAAGAATATGTGCTGTGGGAGACTGTAGTCAAGTCCGATTTTAAATTTAGAGATTTAAACAATTAGATTTAAACAATTTAGAGATGATTGGTTAATTCTGTCTTCCAGATCACTATTCTGTTTCTCCCTTTCCTCACCATTGTGCTCTCTCTACAAAAAATTACTATGCTTATAATAAAAATTATATAAATTATATTTTGCATAATATTTATTATTTGCACAGAACATTTAATAATGGTATGTGTTTGTTTGGATAAGTGGCGATGCAATTTTTTGCCTAAATCATCTAACTAATTGTGTCAGGTTCCGACTGTTATGCACGCAAGATTATTGGCTAGCTCAAAAGATGTAGTTTCAAAGTAACTGACCAAATTACTCCAGTTCTTTTGGTGACTGTGATATTGTTGTATTGAAGTGCTGTGGGCACCCTTATCTTCCCCAACAGTCACTCTTACTCGTTAGCTATTCAGCAGAGATCTGGGTGCTTATCTTTCCCTAGCATTTTTCAACCCTTAGCAACTCCTTCCTCTTTATGACTTAGATAAAATTGTCTTAGACTTCAGTATCTTTGAGTTCCTCCCAGGTTACCTGTAATCATAGTACACATTTTACTTTGCCTTCTCTTAGTTGCCATGCTGACAGTTCTTTTATCCAATATGACATTTTTCACACCTGCCTCAATAGACTTCTCTCTACTTCCTCCCCCACTGTGTCCCATTTTATTTTTTAAATAGTTTCCCAATCCTGAAGTTTTGTTTTATGGAGGAACTTAAGGCTATGAACACTTAGAGTATGAAGTTGAGTATCTTTTTCATCCAAGTCTAACAATCCAAATGACAGGAAGCAGGGACTGAGGTAATGGAAAAAATGAAGCAAACAAGAACATGGTATCACAATCAAGGCTTGTACTTAGTAATTAGCTGCATTAATTTATTATGTTACCTTGCTTTTGTCTTTTTCCATGACCCCTTATAATTGCCCCCTGTATCCCACTGATTATGGGAGGTATTCCTCTACTAAACTCTTACTTATCCTGTATACTTTTAAGAAAAGTTGGGGAGGAAACCGAAGGGGGACAGGACCTAGTGTGTCCTTGGATGCTGGTGAGGGAAGAATACTGCATTATACAGTAATTTATATGCAGAAAACCATGTAAATAAATTAGTGCTGCTGAGAAGAAATGCATGGTCCTAGTCTATTTTGATGTGTCATAAGAAATTACAGTCATTCATACAACTGGTTTTGCAACACTTTTAAAAAAAATCTCTCATTCAGGTGGATAGCATGTAGTTCTGTTTTTTGTGATGTAGCACTTACTTGACCTGTATGAAGTGGTATGTTAAGAAATAAGTCTCAGTGTTGAAAAGAGATATTCAATATCCACTATCATTACAGTTGTCTAAAATATTAGTTTGAGGCAAGCTTTTTAACCCATCTTTCATCTTTATCTTATGGACATATTCTAAAAGCTAACAAGCAGTTAATTCTGAGCTCATGCTTCTATTTCCTGTGTGTTTACCCATGTGTTTACTTATCTCCTCCCATTGCCACTAGTGACTGCTGCAAAGAAGGCAGTGTCTGCATTTCTGAAGCCTGTAATTCTCTATTTTATCGCATGGTCTTTTCCAGCTGTCCCAGTTTGGGTGGTGCCTGAGTCAAGACACTGCTGTATTGTTCAGGGCATAACAGTGCCTTTCTTCCCATAAGATAGGTCTAGAAACATCTTGGTGATACTGAACAAACACTGGGCTTTCTAAGGTTGGATGAGAGTGATAAGAAAAAATCTACATGGAAAGCCAGTCTTCAAATATATATGAAAGCTACTTTATGCTGTAGTAATGTATGTATTTTTGTAATGGTTCACATGATTAAATGTATTTTCTTTGTCACTTATGCACATCCATTATGCTTCCACGTAATGTGTTTGCTTTGACACAGCACTGCCTTTAGGTTTTGGCAAGTTCAAATAATGTAATTTATGTTTACATACCCTCAGGTTCTGTCAGGCTTGGATGGCTGCTGTTTCCTTATGCCCTTTGGGTTTCAGGGTGAGGTGCAGGTGATGCTGCCATTTCTGTTTTATCCAAGAAGGCACACTGTGTGCTTTTGTTGAAGGTTCATTGCTACAAGGTCTCTTGCAGAACAAGGTGAAGTGAGGTGTTAGGACTTCTTTTCTTCTCAATTTCCTTTGAATAATTTGTATTATATAAAATACCATCTAGACTTTGATATAGTTTACATTTTGTATCTGATACTTGACTGGTTGAACTCTTCCTAACTCAGATCATCCAAGGCCTTAAAGGTCTTGTTTAACCTCAGCACAGCTACAGTTTCCTGTCTGTGATACCCTGTTTTTTGAGGCACTGTGCTTTGTGAAAACATAGGTTGACATATGGCAGCCCCATCTTGGAGCCTGAGGCTGCAGCTTAACCCTGTGTGGGGCAGCCTCGCAGGAGGAGGCTGGGTTACTCTGTGTGCTCATTTGTATCTTCAACTGCTCCCTGATAAGAAGATTAAACTCTTATGCAAATCTCTTAAAGGCAGGTTATGATGAAGGGCAGTGAAGTTCTTCAGTCATTAACTGTCACAGAAGCATCGTTGTAGCTTGCGAGTAACACACCAAGTGTTCTGCACAGCTCTGAGTCCTTGTCAATTATTTATTCTTCTGTAATACCACCATTGAATTTGCCTCTGGTTGCAGAGGCAGGAGGTTATTGTTTAGAGCATACTGTGTGTAATTTGAACTCCTGCTTCTGGCAGTGTGATAGTTTTGGCTGGGTTTGTGGGAGGAATACTGGTGTTTTTCACTGGTGCTCCAGCCGAGGAGAGTGGTGGGTTAGGGAGTAGGGATCACTCAAACACTGCTAAATCAGGCAAGAGGGAGATGTGGCAGGAACTGGACCTTAAACATATTGTCAGTATGGCTTTCTGCTTCCTCCCCTTTTTGGTCTTTGAATCTGGGCATAAGCTGGACTACATGAAGAATTTTCTCTTGTGTGTACTAATTTTGGTCCTAGCAAAATGTGTTTGATGGAATCTTTTTGATGTTGCATTTTCAACCCAAGTTGTCAGCTCTTGCAAAATTTGAAAAGTCTTATCAGCACTTAGATGTACGGTTTTACAAGGTTTCCCTGTGGGGTTTTTTTGAGAAGCTCTCTTCATAATTTTTGTTAAACACATATGCCTGTGAAATATAAAAGTTTGCCAGGATTCAGAAATTGTTTTGAGTTTCACTTGAGTCCTTCTAAAATCAGATATGTAATGGGGAGCTCTCAAGCAACAATCTGTATGTGAGCTAGAGCTACTGTTAATGGGTTTTTTCCCTGCTTTCCTGCAGGTTCATGTGTTCTCAGCTACCCAATGAGGTCCTGAAGAGCATCAGTATCATTGACAGCCCTGGCATTCTCTCTGGAGAGAAGCAGCGCATCAGCAGAGGTGAGTTGCAGAGCTTTATAGGCACCAAGCTCACTAAATGTTTTCTGCTCTACTGGACAAATCAGCATCCTGATCTCTGGGAAGCCTGTTTTAGTGGTACTGTATGTACTTTTGTACTGCAAGCCCTGTACAACCCATATTTTAAGGCTGGATGCAGCTTTGGAATTTTTTCTCTTGAAAGCTGGTGGGGGTTGGTATTTCTGTCATCCTGCTGCTATGGCTGCAAAAGGCTACAGTTGCATGGTCTGTTGACTAATTAGTGCTTTATCACTCCCAAAAAAAAGTCTTATTTTAATAATTTTAATTGCTTTCCATGAAGTATTAATGACTCACATACTGTTGAAGTTCATGAATGAAGAAATGTTTCATAATAGCTGTAGATTGGTCATGTCTGAAAAATTCAGGGGTGGGGCTATAAATAAGGTGGGTTTTTGTGGGCACACCTGCTAGAGCTGCTTCTTAAGGTTGCTCAGTCATGCCATAATATAATACAGTCAAAAGAGGAAGTCAAATGGTAGAAGGAGAAAGAGCAAATGAGAATATTTTTAATAATATGAAAATTCTGCAGAGAACTGAGCACTGTTTATCAAGCTGTTTTAAACATTAGTCTGTCTTGAGAAAGTATTTAAACAGAACAGCGTAATGTAAACAACTTTCTTCCTTGCATTCTTCAGCTGCATTTAAGTGCCTGTTGCTTTTCTGTGGAGTTGTAAATGGGAGTGATGCAGGGTGTGGCTTATGCTGCCCTCTGTTTTCAGGCCGTTGCTTAAGAAATGGGACCTTGTGTTTCATGTCTCTGTCAGAGGAAATAAACAATTCTTTACCATACCACACCTGGAATTTTTTGAGGAAATCATGGTACAAGCGCAATATATGGCAGCTATGCAACAGTAGTCTTGTCTTTATAATAAATTGATAGAATAAGGGACTAACTTCTTAGGACTATAATCTAAATTATGCTTACCTAATAAACTGGTTGACCAGATGCTTCTGGATTCTTTATTCAGTGATGTTTTGTCGTCTTTATTACTCATAGTCATGGCTTTCCTTTATGTGATGTGTTGGTGAAATAGTAGAGACGAACAGCATGAGAGCTCTACATCTCTGCAAGCAAAGACTTGAATGTTGTGAAACCAGAAATAAAACAAATACTGCATGTTGGCACTCATATTTTGGACAAAAGCTTGAGAGTACGACTAATGATCTTGAGTCCTGAAAAAATCTTCCGATAAAATGTCCACAAAATATTCAGATCCCAGTTTCCACAGTCTGATAAAATCAGTAACGGTCTGCTTTTCCATTGCGGATTCCAGCTCCGTTTTTCCTCCTCAAGAGAAAACTGACCCCTTCTTTGCTTGTTAAATCAAGAGAAAATTATATATGGCAGCATCTGTTGCCACTTTCATAATAGTATGAAGGGAACATAGAAATAAGCAGAAAACTAGAGTATTGCATTAATATGCCTCTGAAAAAGTGAACAATTGTGTAACCAAATTCAAGACCATTAGGTAATGCCGTGGAAGTCTCAGACTTCCAAGTGCAGGACAGAGTTGTGTTTCTCTCCAGGTTATGTTTCACTGGTAGTCCTGTTTTGCCTGAAGGACCATGACTCTTCACTACCATCTAGAATTGCTCCTGGGATTTAACAAAACATGGCTCTCGTTCCCTTGTTGTTCAGAAACTCCTTGTCAGGATGGTATGTGCCTTATCAATTGTTACAGCCTAGCTGGCCTGCCCTTTGATATGATAGACTTCCACCTAATTTGACATAGTTCGGTGATTACCTCAAACTCTTACCTGTTTCACAGGCTTTAATTCGATTAATTTTTTTACCTGTGATAAAGATTGTCTTGAATGTGTCCCTTGTCATAGTTCTCTTATCAAAGTGTAGTTCTCCTGTATGCCGTTAGTTTCAATCATGTTTAAAGTGTCGTTGTACCAAATATGAGGTTTTGGGAGTTGGCTTTAGAGCACTGTTCTCTCAGAGTCCCAGGCTTTGAGGGCAGGTTAAATAAAGGTTTTGTACACTTAGGCATCACCATACAAGGAGTTATTTACAAGTGCCTGTGCATTTATTGCATGCACATACTCCGTGCTATCATGATCAGAAATTCCTACACTCAACCTTGGCTGAAATACTGCATAGTCAGATACATTTCCTGTAAATGGCTTTTGGGCTGCTTATGCAGTTTGCATATAGGTGGTTTTGTGGGGCACAGACTTGACTTGTCCTGTGATGCTGCAAATAGCAATGTTTGTCTGACCTGCTTCTTGAAGGAGTCAGTCCGACTTAGACATATTTATGCTATAAGTCTAATTTAGCACATTTTGAAGTTTGAGTTGCTTTGATGACTTTCTAAATTATTGTGTGTAAATGTAAGCAGGATTGTACAAGGTGTTTTCTGCTACCCCTGAATGTGTCTGTCAGAGAGGGTTCTGCTTTCTAGAAGTTTATCTTCTGTCTAACATTGGTAAGCTACAGCTTCTCTTATATAAAATGTTTGATGGAAGATTAACATTACAGGGCATCAGTGTAAGACCATGTCTCTTTGCTGTTGGTGGTTTTTCCCCATCTCACTAGCTACTGCTTAACTATTTACCTACGAACGAATGTAATATCTGTACAATATTAAAATTTGACAGGTATCACTAGGAGTAAGTTGAAGCCTTCAGAGTCCAAGAGAGGACTCAAATAGTAGCTTTCATTTTAACATGCAGGAAAACAGCAAAGGGACTAAGTAAAATTTGAGGACATGCACTATTTCCCAGCATGCTCTATTTTTAACTCTGGAAAGCATCCAGGATGAAGGAGCTGATTTCTTGAAGGGTAAAAAATATACACAGAGGGCAACATTTAAAGATATCTCAAGACACACCTTTCCCGCTCCTGTTGTCGGCAGGAGGGTGTGCCAGAAGCTTCCTGGCTGTCAGTTCAGGGGCAGTGTAAGTGGCTGGAGGAGAATGTGCAGATGTCTGCCAGCATTGTCCCCTGGGCAGACAATGCCCATCCCTGTGCTGCTTCTGCAGCATCACTGGTGATGTTCACGCCCCTGCAGACAGAAATGTCTGCGTGGGCTGCAGGATTTGGAAAAATGAGTGTCTGGCAGGATGTAGGGAGGAGCCCCTTTAGGAAGGGAGGGGGTGTTTCGTTCATGAATGAGTGGTGTGAGGACAAGTGTTTCAAAGAGTATGGGGAAAGAGTTCAGGGGAAAATGGCTATTTTTTTTTTTTTTAAAGGAAAAGGCTCCCAGTACATACTTAGCTGTTCCTTACTCATACTAGATGAGTCACATCCATGCCGAACCCAGAGCCTCATCACCAGTGGTGGCTCTGCGGATTAGATGTGTCACTTCTGAGTAAGGAGTTCCTGAATACTGTTTGTTGTGGGGATTAGGTACCAGCTGAACCTGTAAAAGCATTTAGACAGGTGCTATGAATAGGCTTTCCTTTAGAATGTGCTAAAGCTTGTTTCAGGTGATGAGGAGGGTCACTGCTTGTGTTCTATAACCTGTCATGTCCTCAAAGCCATCAGCAATGTACTCACATTACTTGTAAATTGTACTTTTTAGTCTGCTGTGGCGAAAATAACAGCAAGTGTTGCAAGGTAAGGAGAGATCATTTTCCTTCCTAATTCAGACAAGCAGTGCTAATAAAGTGACCAATATTGCAGTGATGAAGAGAGATTGTGATTAGACCCCCACAGCCCTATTTAGCTTTGGTGTTGTGCTGGAACCAGACTCCTGGAAAGAGGCAAATGTGGGTGTGAGACAGAAAGAAGGGCAGTGATAAAAACAGAAGGCGTTAATAGTGAGACTGGTCCAAGGAAATGCAGGATACAGTTGTCATGACCTCACTGCCCAAATATACTGTCCTCTTGACTGATAAATCTCCTTTTTGCCCCCAGGCAGAAGCTGTTACCCTCTTGTTCTCTATCCCCAGCCCTACATTCTCCAAAACTCACTTTTCTGAATGGTAAGAGTGTAACAACGTGTTCTTCCTTCAGGCTACGACTTCTGCCAAGTCCTCCAGTGGTTTGCTGAGAGGGTTGACCGAATCATCCTGCTTTTTGATGCCCACAAGCTGGATATATCTGATGAGTTTTCAGAGGCCATTAAGTCATTCCGGGGCCAGGATGACAAGATCCGAGTGGTGCTTAATAAGGCTGACCAAGTGGACACCCAGCAGCTGATGAGGGTCTATGGTGCTCTCATGTGGTCCCTGGGGAAGGTGATCGACACGCCAGAGGTGCTGCGGGTCTACATTGGCTCCTTCTGGGCCCATCCTCTCCGAAACACAGACAACCGGAGACTCTTTGAAGCCGAGGCACAGGATCTTTTCAGGGATATCCAGAGTCTCCCGCAGAAGGCTGCTGTGAGGAAACTCAATGATCTCATTAAAAGGGCAAGACTTGCAAAGGTAAGAAGAGAAGAAAACAGAATTGAATGAGCCTTCTTTGCTGCTCCCAGTGTGTCCTTTCTCAACCTGGCCAATTTTTCTCTTGCTATAAAATATGTCTTTTTAGCGCAGTTTTTAATCTGGGATTGAATTGTCACTTTTTCAAGGAAAAGATAGTCACTTGAGGAGAAAGCTATTGGTAGAAGACAGGATCTCTAATTTCCTGTGCAGTTATAAAACCAAATGCATTTTCCTTGAAATATATTTTAATGTGACCTGCCAATCAGAAATGAAGAGGACTTGAAAATCCATCAGTATATGAATAGTCGTTTGGGGATGTGTACCACTTCCTGTGTTGGCTTATTTAAATTTCTGAATAGGAAGACAGACTTTCAGGAGTTTTTGATGGGGTTATTTTTGGGAGTTGGAGGGGGGAATGAGGGAGGGCTGGTGGTTTGGAGGTGTTTTGCAGCCTGAGCTTTAGGGCACCCTGTAGAAGTTGCTTCTTTGAAAATTCCATTTAAAATCACAATGATGTTGTGTTAAAAGTTGCTCTGATCCCAGACCAACCTCAGATCCAGTCTGTTTTGTAAATGTTGGCAGCATTTTGTTTTCATTTGTTACAATCATTTTGGCATTTAAGGAGGGTCAGTTGAGTAATTTTTTAGATATTTCTGTGAAATGTAAAACAAAAATTTATAAAGGCAAACACAGTACACAGTGGTCTTAGGGATGTGTTAGACAGTCCCGAAAGGGGAATAAACTGTTTATGTGCAGGAAAGCAGCAGTGTAATCCAGTGGCATTTTTCTGCCTTTCAAACTGCTCTCAAAGTATTGACAATCAAAAATAGCTTTTTACAGTGTTGAGTGTGGGGTTTCTTTTACCTTATTTCTGTGTTACTCTCTTCTAAATGTTTTCTAAAGCATTTACAGTAAATAGAAACAAAAGCAAACTCTTATCAGGCTGTCAGATTTAGGCATTAGGCTTTTTTCTTTTTTTTTTCTTCCCTAAGTCCTGTGACTCACTATCCCGTTTTGGAGATGGGGACTGTTCTTATCTACAAGAAACACATGTGCATACTGGCAGACCTTAGGCCACTTAGAATACACATGTGAAACTGTTAGTGCTTATGAATTATAAACATATTTTTCTGAGTTTGATAGAAATATTCTTTTAGACATAAGATCCATAAAATTGCTCACAATTATTTATAAACTCTCTTAAAAATACCCTTACTGAATCCATTCTGTAGTTCTGGAGAAATACTTACATCTGTACTCTTAGAAAATATCATGGGTTTATGCTTCTTTATGCTGGAGTTTTTTTCTCCTCTATAGAAATGTACATTTATTTGCCATTAAAATGCATACGCTCCTTTTAGATATAAGGAAGTGTTGTGTGAAAATTGTGAACTTAAGATGTGCACATAAAAACTGGCTACATAATTTTTCTTTTAAAAGCAGTTTTTTTTTCTGTTTCTTCCTAAACAAGTAAGGAAATAAATGGGCAATTGCCATATCCAGATTGTGTAAGGTTTGTGTGAAATGCTATAATACACACATTCTGTCATGGTTTGGTAGGTTTCAAGTATTACGCTTACACAATACTGAAGCAATCACTTGTTTTACTGGTGCTTTTTAATGGTAGTTTGTCTTCCCCCAGTCTCCAAAATTTCACCTGTTTATTGCTCAACAGTTTGATAGGCATACATAATTTTTAACTCTTTTTTTTTTTTCTTTGTGTGTGAAAATTATAACTTACTTCTGATTTGTGGACAGCTACATTCTTTTAAAATGAACAAGGACCAGATGTAAAGACATCCTGTAGTGGGGTCATTTGGCTGCTGTGGTCCTGCAGTGGTCAGAGCTTAGGGCAGCATTACTTCTAAAAGAAGGCTTTGCCCTGCTGCCTTCCCTCTTGTGTGCAAAATGAATATCAATGTCCACACAATGAGTTGGATAGGTGAGCTCACCTCAGTTAGGAATTGCAACCACTGTTTCTGTTCTGTAGCTGATCACTTGTTCTGTGGCCAAGCAGATCCTTTTGGTGGGGAAAGGTGGTGGGAGAAGAGATGAATGGTTCAGAATAGAGGCATAAGGAAGGTGAGCAGGATGGATATTTTGATGGCAATGCAAGAATCAATGTGTTTAAAGACATCCTAAATTAGTATTTTTCTTTATAAGCTGGAAAGGCTCTACTTCTCTCCCTAGGGCTTCACAAGGCAGCCATGGCATGCTGCTCCTGTTGGAACTGGCTGTTCTGTCATCTGCATAGGTGGCTGCATAAATACAGACTGTAGGTACTCACTTTTCTGTCAGTAAATAGGTAGGAATGCAATATCACTCCAAATAGATAGCTGTGCCACTTAGCATACTTGGATTGCTGGGGGTGTTATCCCATTGATACCCACAATGGCTGCTGTGGCAAATGAGCTACAAATCATACAGATGGACCAGTGTGGCTGGAGCTCTGTGTCAGGACGTGGGGTTTGTGGTCTTGCCTTTTCTCTTGCTGTTGGTACTCGTAGAGTGCTGTACCAAGCTTCTTCTTAAAAGAGCAAGTGTGCATCTGTATTTCCTTGAAATGTGTTTCCTTTCTCTCTGCCCCTCAAAGGAATGCTGAAAGCAGCAAAAGCTAATAATAGCTAACAGGCAGCTAACTGTTCATGTAAACATGAAGTTCCAGAAACAGTAGTTGATAATATCTTTCCTTAGGGAAACATATTTCTGTTTCTTTTTATCACCTAGGTGAGGAAACCTACTGCTAAGTGTTGGTAAACAGTAGTTTTGATTTCGGTTTTGCTTATTTTTAGGTTCATGCTTATATCATCAGCTATCTGAAAAAAGAGATGCCCTCTGTATTTGGGAAGGAGAATAAGAAGAAGGAACTGATCAACAAGTTGCCTGAGATCTACATTCAGCTGCAAAGGGAATACCATATTTCAGCAGGGGACTTCCCTGAAGTCAAGAAAATGCAGGTAAGATGGTAGATTACCATTCCACTGAAATAACTCTCAACTTTGTAGCAGGATTGGCAAAATTGAAAAGGTAGAACAGAGTATCTCAGTGTTACAGGTGAGGGTGTAGAGCAGTTGAAATGACAGTCATTTGACTGATATGACATTAGAGTGACTTGGAAGTGCTACAGACCAAAAAAGAATGGTAACTTGCTTAGTGCGCATTCACTGATACAGGACTACATAAAGACTATGAAAATAAGGAATAAAAAATCTGACCTACTCTCCTTTTAGTCAGTACTTGGACTCTCCTGGCAGGAAGTAACAAAGACTTTGTGCAAATAAAATGGCAGTGAACACTCACAGCTTAAGGGGCTTATTTTGAATCCTAAATGTGGTTATATTTATCATTTTTGTGATAGTATCAAATATTTGTGTAGGTGAAGATATCATTAGTCATTAGCTCATTTTCACTCTACTCTGTTCCTGTTCTTACTGGTATTGTTTCCCAGTGACTAATAAAGGCAATGTGTTACTTGAAAAGTCCAGCTTAAAACCTCATGCTTCTGAAAACAGTCTTTGGCTTTTTTCTTGTCTATGAAGGAGAGAGAGAGAAGTTCTAGGTTTATGCTCACAACTTATTTTTAAATATCTTTTGTCTCTTCCTCTTTTGGGTTTTCTGCAGTCTTTCACGCAATTTTCTGTCACTTTCTTGCCTATTTTTTTCTGTTCTCTGATTCGAGATGAGAGAAAATATCCCAGGGAAAAACAGCTAGTGTCATGTTAGTAGTGATTTCAAGCATCAATTGGCATTTTTTGCATCTCAGATCATAGACTTCTTAAATGTCATTTGAATTAGAGGATAATTCAGCTTGAAAGCTGAAGAACAAGAGATCCAGGGCCTGCAGTTTGCTCTGACCATGGACTAGTCATGTGTGTGATGGAGGATGTTTTCCAGACGTGTCGTTCTGACAGCACACGTGGTACACTTGCACAGCTATCATCAGGAGTGATGACTGGCTGATTATCTATACAAAGGCACACATTTCTTTCATAAACTGAAGTATTTAACCTAGGAATCAGCTACTGGCATGAGACAGCAAATCACTGATGAAGCATAAGATGTATTTTAGCTAAGTTTTCACGGGCAGGATTGGTGGAGGCATTTCGTGAGTTAGGCTTTGAAAGGGGATCCTGTGGCAAAAGTTGACTCTTTCTTCCCTTGCTGCTTTTGCTTGTGATGCAGAGTGAGAGAATGAGAGATCTGAATATTGAAACAAAATTTGAATTAAACTCTTTCAGACTTAAAGTACATGTCAGTTAAGCCTCAGCAGCAGATGGCAGCAAATATTACAGGATACTGTGATACAAATACCACAGTCACTTCTGCAATGAGGAGCAAAACTGTGAGAAAGCAAAATTGTGTGAAAACAAAGTTGTGCCAAAACCAATAGCAAATTGATTCCTGGTATTTATTCCACTACGTACATATATTCTAATCAGGTGCTGTCAATCAGGTGATTGTGTATAAATGTCACCTGAACAGAGTTTTTGGTTGACTGTTTTTACCCTGTGCTCCAGGTTTCTTGGGTTCATGTCATGATCATTTTGATATGTATAAGAGCAGCTTCTTGAGGTGATAGATGGGATTTGTTAAAGCAATTTAACATCATTTTACAGAAGGTAGGAGGTGGTGGTGGTGGTGATGTTTGAATTTTTTTAACCTTTTCCACTGTAACTTTCTCTTCGTGGCAAGCATTTTGCATGTAGAAAAAATTTAATAATTGCCGAAAGCATTTTTAATTTTCTGATGCTGTGGTGTAAAACGTGCTTGGGCTTGTGTTGGAATAGTACATATTACCTAGGTAAACATCTCACTGGTGTTGGGATGAAAACTCGACAAATTCTGCAGGGAGCATCTGACTTCATGAGTTCTGGCAGCACAGCTATAAAACATTGCTGCTATCTCAACTCAGCTTTTCTTTATTAGTAAAGAACACCTTTTCCTGACCTAAACACAACCAAAAAGTCTAATCTATAAAATCAGATCAGTCCTGCAAACATTTGATTTTATTTTTAACTCTGAACTCTTGCATAAGTGCTAGCAGGACTGAGGACTTACTTGCATGCTTTCTTTGATGTTTGGAAAAAATCATCAAATGGAAAGTTGCTGGGTAGCATTCATCAGCTGCTGTGGTTTTATCCCCTGCACTTTGAAATTTGTATTGTAAATGAAATTTAATAAATAAACTCATACACTGTTGCAAAATTGTCTTAGTGTGTTTGATGAAATATATTGGTACATATGTTTTGTTTCACCATCAAGAGGAATTTCAGCTATAGAACCAGCTTCAAAAGATACTTATTTTAATTGAATTATCACTTGACTATTTTAATTTTAAGCCCATTCTTTAAACTTTTCAATGCATTGGAATGGTTTTTAACTACTGTCACTGTATCATTCACAGGAGCAGTTGGAGAATTGTGATTTCACTAAGTTTCATTCTTTGAAACCAAAGCTAATTGAAACTGTGGATAACATGCTGGCCAACAAAATTGCCTCCCTGATGAACCTAATCAGACAGGAAGAGAGCAACATGCCCACGGAGATGGTACACGGTGGAGCGTTCGATGGCACCATGGCCGGACCTTTTGGCCATGGATATGGGGAAGGTGCTAAGGAAGGAGCTGATGAAGAGGAGTGGGTTGTTGCCAAAGATAAACCTGCTTACGATGAGATTTTCTACACTCTGTCACCAATCAATGGCAAAATATCTGGGATTAGTGCAAAGAAGGAGATGGTGACTTCTAAACTACCCAATAGCGTCTTGGGGAAGATCTGGAAACTTGCAGACTGTGATGGCGATGGGATGTTGGATGATGAAGAGTTTGCATTAGCAAAACATCTCATCAAGATTAAACTGGATGGATATGAACTGCCTGGCACACTACCTTCCCACCTGGTGCCACCATCTCACAGGAAACCTTTCCAGACAGCAGAATGAACAATACAAGGAGAAGAGTGAGGATTTTGAAATTCCCACAGGAAATGTGTTGAAAATACCAAAATTTGAAGTTAAGCTTAGATCCTTAAACCTCACAGCACATTTCACACAAGCTACTGAAGTTATAAGCCTGGCAGCAGGGAAACATTCGTGTCGCTGTCCCTGCTGACCTTCACTCAGACATGCTTATCACAAGTGCCTTATAATAGCTCTGTCATAAGGTGAAAATGTTTTTGTAGTCCTGTGCCCATGTCTTGCTGCCTTCACAACCATAAAGCAGAAAAGACCATGCATAAAATTTGCTGACCTTCACCAAACCTAAATACTTATCAACCCTGTATTCAAACTATCCTAAATAGCACACTGAAGCTCAAAATGTTAAATTCACCTGCATAGGCAAAGAATATTTAGATGCTAAAAATGTACTTAAGCCATTAAGTGAATGTAAGCATCTCTATAGTCTAAGAAAAGGCTGATATAAAAGGAAGTTCTTTTCTTTCTTTTTATTGTGTAATTGGAATTAGAAAAAGATAGAATAATAATGAGGAGAGTCTTGTAAGTGCTCAAAATGTGAGCAAACCTGTTTTAAAACTTCAGATTCTATCTAGAACTGCAAAAAAAGTAATTTTTTTTTGATCTGTCATTGTGTCTTGTCTGAAGAACAGCTTCTTCAGTTTTACACAGCACTATATAGTCAGTATTATCAATAGAAGAACGGAGATCTCCTTTTTTCCTTGTATTTAGAGTTTTCTTTGCAGTTTAAGCTTAGCTTCTCTGCAGACTATGAATTTCTGAATGGTTCAAAGTGACAGCAGAATGGCTTCTTAGCTGAAAAAACCATGTTTGCATTGAAATTAAGCCTCACTTTCTGTTCAGAAAAGGTGTATTGCTCAAATTCAGCCTCCTCAAAGCACATCAAATTGTCTCAGAATATTTTCATTGGTATTTAATTTCTATTTACAGCTAATTATACAGTTATGTCTGTGTATTTTTTAATATATAATATATTATAAGAGAATTTTTTAACTCTTTTGCCAACACGTAGCTGACAACCACAGAGAGAGATTCAATTCTCATGGCAGCAGATTTGAAGGATGGGGAGGCTAACAGAAACTGTTACATTGACTGTAATAAGTGTAACTCATTCCTCCAAATATTACTCCTTCATTGAAAACAATCCATGAAAGGAATGGATGTTTAATAAACATTTATTTTCCAACAACACGCAATCAAAGTTGAACATACTGTCTGCTTACAACTGATTTTTATCAGTACCTTAAAAGAAGGCAAGTCTTTGGCCCTATGAGTTTGAGTCTTTCAGGGAGGGCCAGTTCTTTCCTAAAATCAAATTTGGCAGCCAGTTCTGGTCTATGTGTATGAGCAGGAATTGATTTGTATTCCATTTGTAATAGGAAAGATCCTACACATCAAAGGTACTGTAGTTTTGAGCACTTTCTTGTTAAGTCTCAATAAGTGGCAGCACCAATGCCTTCTGAGACAGAGCAAGCCAAAAAGTGCTTTAACATCCTTGTAATAGGGGTGGGGAGGAAATAGTTTGGATATTGTCTCCCAGTTAAGGTTTTAGTCACACTTCCATGTTCAGTTTTGTGGGTGATCTAAGAAAAGCCTCAGCTTCTTTTTTCAAATCATGTATTTGTAGGTTGTTGGGTTTAATACTTCACATCTTTCTGGACCTCTCATCTTTCTGTTATCTGTTCTATTCTGAGGTGCAATTTCCATTAACTGTGTCGGGGCACTTGCAGGGGAAAACAATGATGCTATTTTAAGTAATGGCAGAACGCCACCTTTACCTCGCGAGGTTTCTGGGCCTGTATCAAGGATGTCCTGGCATAGCTGAATTGTTCTGAGGACTTGATTTTTTTTGGGGTGTTTTGTTGTTGTATTTTTTTTTTTTTAATTCTTAGGTGTTTTTCCTATCATTCAAGCATACCGACTTTATTTCTGTTAGACCTAAATTAGGAGCCAAATTAACCTTAGTGCATCTCTGTGCACTTCAGTAGAGCTGTGAAACTTGACACTGAGTCTACCTGTGTGACTGTACATCTGCAGAGTAACTATTTTCTATGTAATTTATTTTTGATTGAAAAAAAAGTAGTCTATAGACATTGCTGGTGTTGAAAAAGAAAAAGGCTGCAGAAGTAGTAAGGTGTGTTTGTTTGTGGGTAGTGTCTGCAGTCATTACCGCTTCATACACTACTGACCAATTTAGTACTAGTGACTAGTTTAATCAGGACAGCCACCAGGAGAAAGAATGCAAGCTTGTGTATTGTGACTCTTGGAGTGTAGGCAAAACTGAGAGGATCTTGGCAGCTGCTGATTTTCCCACTCTGCCTTACCTTGCTTTGCAGCAGCACAGGGCTGCAGCAGGGGACTCCTGCCTGAGTTCCCACCACATGCAGCTTCCAGGGGTGATGCTCCAGACATATTGGAGCCATGTGATCTCATGCCATTTGAAATATCCTCCTTCAGTGAGAAGAGCGGGGTAGTTTCAGTGGTTTTATTCTATTTTTCTAGTTTTGTTGGTAGTAAAATGGAGAACACAGCCTTTTCCTCAATCTCTGTGACAATATGCTAGCTTGATCTTAAGACAGACAAATTGAAATACGTCCTTTTGATAAGTTAAAAAATTTTGCCTAGATGGGGTTGTAGTATTTTGCTTTGTGTTCCTGTAGAATTTGGAAGATGAATGCATGAAGCATGTATAGGAGTAGAGGTGGATTTTCTCTGGCTGCCTGGAGAAATAGGAGTGTTTCGTGGTTGGCATCCACAGCTACATAAGTCTATTTCTAGGTATGTAGTACCTAGGCACCACATAAATCTAGGTGTGTGGTACAGTGAACTTAGATGATAGGAATAAAATACATCTCATGGGAACTTTAAACAGGAGTTTCTTGCACAACTAAACTGATGGAGTAGCTTGCTGTTGCTCAGGGGAGGGGTTTTCTTCTCACTACGTTCTCACAGGTCCATGGGCCTCCCCCGTTTCCCTTGCTGGCTGTCTGCAAGCCTGTTCAGTTAAACCAGCCACACACAAGTGTTTGGGTAATGTTCTGTGGAGTTAGTGAATCCGTGTGTTAGAAGCATGGGAAGTGAGCAGGATTGCCTTCTCTCAGGATAGCGTGCTCTAAGTAGTTATTTTAACAGCAGTGTGAGGTAATCTCTGGTGTTCAGTTTGTTGCTAATGTCTGCTGAAGAAAGGTGAAGATGTTGAGTTGGTTGGACATTTTATGCCTAGGATTTTAATAACGTTTTCTGCAAGATCATTCAAAGCTGTCTGTAATTCATCCTGTGAAATCTGTGCCCACTGTTGTAGCCTACTGTCTTAAACTAGAATAGAAACTGCTGCTTTTACCTTTTCTCCAACTATTCCACAACACAGTATCAATTTACATTAATTTTTGAATCAGGATGAGGTCCCTTTTGTTAATTAGGTGTGGTGTGAATTTGTGTGGAACCTGGTCTCAAAGCAGCAGGTATGTGGTCCCTGGCTTTCAATATTGTTTATTGCCAGCACTTGAAATGCACCCTCTTTTTCTTTCCATCACTTTCTTCCCTTCACAATGTGCACTCATTTTAGTGGCTCTTTAAATTTTTGGATATCAAGCAGAGTTTGAAGTGTATGGTTTGATGGATATGTGTAACTTAGCACTGAGGAATGATCATGAACTTCATTTTCTATTTCACATGCTCACCTTTTTTAATATTTTTGTTAAACACTGTTTTCACTTAAAAGGCACTCTGATTTTTGAGGAAAGGCTTTATCTGTGCAGTGTGCTTCAGTTTGTCCAATTAGGCAAACAAAGTTGTAAGTTCATTATTGTTGCACTTTTATTACACAGTAAATTCTTTGCAGATACTGTAATATATTTTAATATGCTTTGTAATCATTTTTAGAAAGCGGTGATAAAAATTGCTGATTTAATAAACTAATATTGAACTACCTGAGATTCTGGTTTGTATGTTTCTTTCTGGAAGATAATCTTTCAGTGACTCATATTTTGTAATCCTGCTACTTGAGGCTCATAGGCAGAGTAGCTATTTGGCAAGCTGCTGATTTTCCCACCTCAGTTTATGTATCCATAATAGGTTCTGGCTATTTCTTTTCTGTGCCCTTGAACTTGTTGCTGAAATTACTGCTTGTGCCACGGCTTGGTTCCAGAATTAAATTTTTCTGTAAAGAATTAAAAAAACTCCTACAAACCTCCAGCACCTCTCTGTAATTAGCATGTTATAGCAGACTGTAATTTTGGTACTTCCTAATGTCTAAATGTGGAAGTACTCCAAAGTCCAAGTGTGGAACATAAATCTAAAACTTCCTGTGTGGATTGAAGGTTTGAAACTTGATCTGAGAGGTGATATTTTAACTTCAGTGGGGGTACTAAGCTTGAAAAGTAAGAGCAGATTGAAAAACAGTTTAGCAAAAAGCACTTTGAAGTGTTTGTCCCAGAAAATCCGAAGACATCTTCCACACCATGCTGCCTGTTCCTTGAGAATAACCAATGGCATAAATAGAACATTGATTGTAACATTGTGCTGAAATTAATTCTCCGGCCCCTTCTTTCTCCTCTATGCACACATCTTACTTAAGGCATTTCCAGAGACATATCTGTGCCATCAGGATGCTAGAGTTTAGCCATGGCCCCTACAGTGGTTAGATTTCGGCTGCTGTGGAGTTCCTATGTAGCAGTGTTGATGCCATGTGTCACATGAAAGCAAGTGTTTCACATGCAGGCAATCTGTGTGTTCCTGGAGGCTCCCTAGAGCTTCAACTGCAGCGACTTGCTGGAACTGCTCCTTATAAAAGTAAAAAATAATCTGAAGAAGAGGAGGTTTTAGTGGTGTCTGTAGGTGGGAGGGGTTGCTTTTTGTGGTTTTATTTTAATTTTGTTTTACATGCTCTGCATATAAGATATTTCAGACTTTGAAGTGTGCTGTAAATATTTCAGCAGTTGTTCTGTCTAATCCACAATTCGTATTTGGATAATAGGAAAAGTAGACAACTGTCCATGCTACCAGTTTGTAAGTTTTGCAGCAATTGTTGTTTCTAATATTTGGCACTATTAAACAGTGAAACATTTCTGTTTTAACTCAGGTGCCAGTACTAACCTTGAAAAATAAGAGTACTGAGGAGCCACTTAGTTTCTCCAAATCTTATTTGCTCCCATGTTTGGTACATTTATAAGGCCTTTGGAGCAGACACTGCTCTGGGTTTCTCTGATCTTGCCATACTGCAAGTACTACCTGAGAGTGCAGAGGACCTTTTGAAGGCTTGGCCCTTGGCCCTGCCTGCCTGACTTGGCCAGGAAAACACAGGAGAAAAGGTTGGCTGCCCTGCCCTGCCCAGACAGGTGTACAAATGCATCCGCTGAAAGTGCCTTCTTTCACTCAGGGATCACAGCAATGAGTTGGAAATAAATATCCATACCAAATAAACACAGTCAGGAAGATGAGGTGGTTTCTCACCAGTGTGTTCAGAAGTCCTGAATATATGCAACTTTTTCTGACCTGAGGGAAAAATATGGATGGAAACCATGGTTTTGAGGCAGAATCCTCTCTCTTTTCCCATTGGAGGACTTCATGCTAGCACAGATTTGTACCTGCTGATAGACTGGGGGCTCATTTTCTGGTCCAGTGAATACTGGAAGCTCACTAATGCCACATCTAACTTGTTTTCCCACCTTTTCTCTGAGATGAGCTTGTCCATGTTCTTTCCAAGGTTTTGCTAGCTCAACAGCCCATATTCTACTTCAGTCTGAAGCTCTGAAGATTTCATTGTAGTGAAAATAGCTCATGAATGGTATGTATCTGTCACCAGGTGGTGTATTTCAGATATACTGTAAGATTTCTATGTTCACCATTTTGCAATTTTTTTAACAAGGAACTGCTGAAACATGCTGCTCATGCTTAGTGATTCTCTTCAGATAATTCTGTGGGTTTATTCTCAAAATGCTTTTTTTTTGTGTCTAGTCAGAAAGTAAGAAATTAACAAACAATGTAAGTATAACCAGTAAGCTCAGGGCTTGGTAATTTTTGCCTACAATGGAGATTAATGGCCATTTTTATTTGTGTTGTATTAGCGTGTCTTAGCTTGCATCTGCTGAAATTCGCACCTTTACTGTTAACTGTTTATACATTTTTACTAAAATTTATGCAGTGTTTTTACCAATGACTTTCAACCATTCCACATGACTGGACACCTTCACACGGAAACTGGGATGGGCTGGGCTGGTTTGCAGTCAGTAATCTGCTGGTCAGGGCCATGAGGGACCAAAACCTGAGAGCACACCATGGTGTGCACTGTCCCTGGGGGCAGGTGCAGTGCTCTGGCATTGAGGGTGCTGGGAACCACTTCCATATGTGAATCCCACAGTCTTCTTTCATCAACAAATGGAGCTAAGCACTTTATCAGTCCAATATACAAACAACCCCCTAAAATACAGCTGTGAATAAAAAGTTTCACTCTTATGCAGCAGTCTTCATTAGTAGCTGTGAAAAAAATGGAAATATCTCATTTAAATGATACAAATACGCTAGTTAGATCTGGCATTGCCAACATGGTGATTTCTAAGCCCAGTTTCCGTTTCATGTTCAAAATATTTTAAAGCTATTTTGTCACTTGAAATCTTTTATCTATGTTTGTATGAAATGGAAAGAGACTGAGAGTCCTTTGTCCCATGTGTTCATCTCAAAAAGCCTTTGAAGCTCTTATGTTAACTATTTGAGGTTCAGAAACAGAAGGGAAATTTCAAGATAATATAAACAGCTCCAAGGAGAAAATGTCTTTAACTCATGACTAAACAAGCAAACATATATTTTCTGTTTCAAAATGATGACTGAACTTCTTCATGCCAGGAAAAATAAATCCATCTG